TGTCATCTGACAGGGAAGTATGGAGTTTCCTGGCCTGGGAGTGAGTCTTGGCTTTTCATGGAGAAGTGCAATAATAGTGCTGAACTGAATAGGGCAAACAAGTGTTGTCAGTGAGCTTTGAACTAAGGGAGTAGGAAGAATGTCTCCTACGCTGGGGGACAATCAGATGAGTGGAACAATGTGAAGTCAGTTTATGAAACTTTTGGCTCCTGGGGTGATTGAAGAGAAGAGACACAATGCAAGGAATTAAATTGTGAAATTGAAGTTGTATGAAGAGGTTTATAGGATTAGGAAGACTTGCAGGAAATAAAAGTAAAAGGTTTTGATTTCAGCTGTTTAGAAAAGATGACTTTCTAGTGCACAGACTGAGGTGAGGGGGGAAGTTTTGCTGTTTGGGAAGAGTCCAGGTTTTATTTGTCCCTTTTCCTGCACATTCATTCTTTTCTCTTTTATGTCCATTGACTGAGAGCTGTGATCTGATGAGCCCTAGCTGTGCCCTCTCCCTTATCAGTCTGTCCTTATGCACCAGCCAGATGGGGAAAACAGGGTTATGTGCCTCCCTTAGAGATTCATGAGACCCACTGATAGGAACACTGTAGTCCTTAGCTTGTTCAACTGATTGGTTGTAGGCATCTTAAAATATAATAACTAAGTTAGCTTTTGTTTTTTCGGTTTCTAAATGGATGTCTTGCTATGTAGCCCTTTAGCTTCAGTCTCACTCTCCTGGCTTTCAAGATGTAGCTTCTTACAAGGATTTCCTTTAAAATAAGCAGCATCTTCTGTCAACACACAGTGTTGACCTCAGGGTGTTATAAGCCACTTTTAACAATTCACTTACCAAGGGGCATTCCTAAAAACTAGAGATTATGAGATTTATGAGTAGTGACATCTCCCTGTGATGATTCTAACTTAATTTGAGGAGAGTTTGGTGGACTTCATTTTGGTGTGAGTTTTTTTTGTGGGTTTTTTTTTGTTTGTTTGTGGGGTTTTGGGGGGTTTCGTTTGTTTGTTTGTTTTTTAATAGGGTTTAATATAAAATCTCATGGTTATTTTTACACAGGCATGTTTTCATTTAGGCTATAATGTTCAGGGACTGAATGTGCCTTTTGTATGTATGCAAAGCCCTCAATAGGAAAGTGGTGTTCTTGTAGTTCCAGTTAGCACTATAAATAGCTTTAGAATAATGTGCTGAGAGCCACATAGAGAGCCCCCTTTGACATCTCTGGGAATCCTGTGAAAGACAGAGGAACAGTGTTGTTTAGACTCCAAGGAGGAGAGAGAGAATCCTTACTGGATATGACTCTTGACATGAATATTACCCAATGTTATGTGTAGATTGAAGATATCCTTTGGTTCCCTTGTACCCTCTGGTCTCTGATGTAGTTTCCTAGAAAACTGTTTGAAACTTGATAAAGGCATCTGCAATTACAATTTAAATTGCCACTTTATGAAGAGAACTCAAGGATAAACCTCTCTGTTCCACATCAATTTCCTCCTGTCCATAAACAGCTCTTTCTTTGACAGCTCTTTTATCATCATCAACTTGACCTAACCCAGATTTCTTCCTGCTCTCCTCTTTTGTGTTGCTGTGGATGTCCCAGGCATTCTTCAAGTCAACTTAGGCCTGCACTTGTAGAACCTTTCTGCATAGTATCCTTGAGATAAGACCTGTCCCAGCTAGCTATCCAGCTAAAAGATGACTTAGGGTTGAGTTTTGCATCTCACTTCAACATCCATTTCCCTCACCATGACCAAATAAAAGCAGTCTTGCCCTGTTCTCAAAGTGCTGTTGCCACTGCAATTACTGGGTTTGTTTTGTTTTGTTTTGTTTGGTTGGTTTTTAATTCTGTTTCTGATAATTTCACTTTGTTTGCTTTTACCCATTGGTTCCCTCTGTCCTGTCATATAATGCATAAATAATAAGTACTAACCTTCAATGTTAAGACTGTTCCTAATATTTTCCTATTAACTCAGTTTTCTTTTTTTCTTTTTTCTTTTTTTTTTTTTTTAAATACTGACTTCCATTTACCAATGTTAAACCACAGTGGTATCAATCACTTGCCCATTATGTTCTTATTCTATCATCTTTTGCTTTTCTTTTCTTACATGATTCCTCTATGGAGGGAGAGAGATTTTAGGGAGCCACTGACATGTTTCATCAGCCTCCTGCAAGTTCTTAAAATGCTCATTCACTGTGATACTTCAATGTGGTTGACAGTGATTAGACTAATTAGGTACCAATGTGACTAATTAAACTGTTGTACTGTAACTAACCTGCCATGTTCAGTCTACTGTTGTCTCAGTGTTTCTTTGAACATCCTGGTCTCTATCCTAGCTCTTGTCGCTTGCTCTAAGCTTACAAGTCTTTCTTTTAAGGGCCGTAAGTGTAAATCTGTTTGGTGTTTGTACAAAGCCTGGCACTTTGGACACTGGTAACTGGAAATTCACAATTAGTAGGTGATTAAGGTATGTGTTGCTGCTGGTTCTATAGAAATGGTTGATGCATGTTTTGGTGTGAATTCTGGCAAATTGTTCCTGGTATCTCCATGGAACTTGCCACATAGGTCACTTTGATAGGAAAGTACAGACAGACATATAATACCCAAAGGTTAATATATCATAAGATACTTAAGTATAAAATCTGATCCAGTGTTGATCCATGATTTTGAAAAGTTGCATACCTGACAAACCCACTATGCTCAGTACAGGCATTCCCATACTTCTGGCTTCATGGAGACTGCAAATGCACGTCTAGTGTGGATTGAACATGCATAAACCAAACTGAAATTCATTTGAGCTTGATTTTACACCTGATGTAAAAACTAAAGATTTTTGCATGCTGGAGACAACATAATTTAAAAAAAATATTTTATATGTATTTCTGTGTCGGCTATTTACAGCTTTCGACTAATTTTAATTTGAAATATTTGAAAAATATTTCTAGGCACTGAATTTCAAAGCACAGTCTAAACGATGCAAAGTGCGTGGGCTTAGGTATGTTCAGAGTATCCAAGTATGTGTACATTCACTGATTTCAGTTCAGTAGTAACATCTTAGTATGTGAGTTGAAGATGTATCAGAGTTTTACAGATCCAATGATAAAATATTTCCGTAAAATAAAATCAATCTATTATCAGTGTTCAGAAACTGATTACTAACTTGAGTGTAAAACTTAGATGCAATCAAAAGCATGTTGACCAATGAGCTGAGTCATGGCCAAGTAACACCAGCCTGGGCACCATTATGCTGGGCTTTTATATCTGCTATTCATCTTCTGCACTGTGAATACCACATATACATCACTATCTCTGCCCTGGTTTTGTCAATAGAGCTCTTCATTAAACTGAATGGTCAAAACAAGTTCTCCACTGGAAATTATGATTTAGGTCTCTAGTGTATTTTCTGAGTCTTTAATAATAAACCATATGTAGCTGCAAACAAACTTTTTCAAAAAGCAAGTAAGTGGGCTTAAGGATGTCTGCAGGGAAATGTTTTGACTGTGTAACCATGATGATGTGACTGACAAGTAGAGAAACAGTGGGGGTTATTTTCTTTTTCTGGCTTGGCAAGTGAAATACTACCACAGAAGTGTAATCCAGTGAAGATTTTTTCCCTTTCTAATTAGTGATACTCTGAACTCCTTGAGGGAGACCAATTTGTGGACCTCATGCTGCATTCTGCCTTCAGTAAACATATATTTTTAAAATAAACTTTAAGCACAGATCAAATAGCTCAGCTTCTAGAACTTAATTTTGCTCTGAGTCTCAAAATATTGCAGTGTGAATTTTACAGCTTGGCATCTTGTAGAGTTTGTACCTTTGTGAGAATAACGAATCCATTGTGAGCAGTGCTGCTTCTTTATCCTTCATTTAAAATGAAAGATAAGCTACTGTTTAATTTATTCAGAAAAGTTAAAATCAAAGAGTTATTTTTCTTCTTTTAGCACTTACAATTGCTTACAATTATATGGTAAATTATAGAATTTGAAAAGCACAGTGAAAAAAATACTGCTGTTGTTAGACATTAGCATTCAAATCTGTCTGGAAGTGTGTATTGCTGTAGGAGTTGGTGCTTCTGAGTCCCATCCCAGTCTCTGCTACTGATCCACTATAATTTAGCTGGCAGCTGAATCTTTTGGTTCCTTAGAGACAACATCTCTTACGAGCAGTCTGATGTTAGTATTCAGTGTCTTGTCCTGAAAAAACTATGCCTAGAATTCCTGTTTACTTTGGGCAAAAATATGGTACAGATCTCAGGACCAGTATTTGTAATGTGCATGAACATTATTGAGAATTGATCAATGTATTAAAAATATAAAGAAGTTTGGTATTTTGAATTTCCTAAGAGTTTTGGTTTTTTCTTTGGTAGGATAGCAAAGTATTAAAAAAACCCAACACAACCCAAATTTGTAGGAGATAAGGATAACATTAGAAAGTGTAAGGAAGGGAAGGAAAGGATAGTTTAATCTGATTCACAAGAGCTGAAGCAAGCACAAGGTCTTGTGTCTAAAAGAGGTCTAGTGTACCTATTTTCCCCGAACTAGAGCTGATTTAATGCAGTAAATAGTGTGATTGTTAATACATGATCTTATACATCAAATTCAGGAAAACCACCTGACTGCTTTTAGGATGATGGGCCTGTATATCCGAAAGCATGAAGGAAGCTCTGGTTGTGATTGTAAGACCTCTGGACTTGTGTCTGATCAGGAGAAGGCCACGTGTTGCCAGTGTACACCTTACAGTTGGATGCAACACCTTAGTACACAGAGCTTTTTATGGCATTTGCTTTGTAGTAAGGCCATCATTTTATTGTTTTTCAGTTTAAAATATCTTGTTTTATCTCTGTGGAAGTATTTGAACTGCTATTGGGTGTTTGTTTTTGTGGTTTTTTCTTTGTTTTTATTTTCCTATCTAAAAATAAGCATTCACCCCAAATACTGCTTGAAATAGTAATTATTCTCTCCGAACTGCAGTTTTATTTTCTTTTGGCTTTTATTTCAGCTGCAGGAGCCAGCTGCTCCAAAGAGTGTGGGAAGCTGACTTGGAGGCCTGTCAGCTGTTGATCCGAGGGTTTCAACTGAAAGAAAGCAGTTGCTGTGTTTTTGAGGAAGAGGAGAACCAAATGGATGTGATGGAGATGACTGCTGATGGCCCATCTGATTCTCAGAAAAGAAAAGAAGGTCGCTTTCCAAAGGGCACAGAGTGGGGCACTGCTTCCTGCCCCAAACACAGTGAACTGAAAGAGGTATCTGAAATATTCTACAGCTGCATTTCAAGAGATACTGCTGGGCTTTCCTTTTGAGTGAAGCAGTTGAATCTGAGTGACATGTCAGCAGGGCAGGTTAAGTATGAACTTAACATCTGGCCTCCAAACTGGGATATGAATAAAATGGCTTCTTAGCTTCTCAGAAGCCCTTAAGCTCTTTTTCCTTTCATTGTCAGTCGTTTTAAAATGTGGACATTATTCAGGCAAGAAATACAGGATGTACATCAGGGTTTAAAGGAAAAAAAAAAAAGTATTTAATGCATTATCAGCTGTTCCTTCTCTCAGTGATGAGTTCCACTCTGAATTAGTTCTGCTGACTTGTTAGTCTGGATGTATGTTAGCTGAAGTGTGCAGGTTTCCTTCCTAGTAAATGGCCAAAGGTTTCCTAGCTCAAGTGCTGGTAGGCTTTCAGCATCCAACAAGTATTAAAAGGAGCAAAAAAATAATGAGGCTTAAAAGTTTTAACAATTTTCTTACAAGTTTTTATGTTCTGCTCTGAAATGCCATCCTTGCTTGAAAAAATGTACATCAACCTAATAATCATTTAACTGCACTGCCAAGGCACAAGCTGTTAAAAAGCTTCCTCACCCAAAAGCACCACTGCAACACAAAGACCAGTTTTATTAACTTGGAATTTGTTTGACAAAAATTAAGTGTGCTTAATTGTACCTGATATTAAGAGCCATTGAACTGGGTATTGTGTTGAAAGCTGATGCTTAATTTTGCTTTTATGCTGCCTGTAACTTAGTGGAGAACAGGCCTTTGCCTCACTGTAAATTCTGTTTATAAATTGTGCACCAATAGTACTTGCAGCCTTTTCCTAGGCAAAACAGTTTATGAACTGACTGCATAAAGAGCATTTTTATTGAAAGCGGTCAACTGTGGCATCTAATTTATTTTTTCTTTAACCTTCATTTTTTCCCCTTTTTTTCCCCCCTTCTTATTTTGTTGCTGATGAGTCCACTGAAGTAATATGAGGAGTTATGGTGATTATGGAAAGCTGTGCTTCCCTTTCAAAAGTACAGCTGGGTTTGGGATTTTGTGACTGTTTCTGTAGCACTCTTAAGATTTGTTTTGTAGATGATGATCTGTTTCACCCCTGCAAGTCCAGGTAGTTTCCTTGGAAATCAGAACTGCTATCCCAGAATGACATCTAGGCAGCTGAAGTGAGATGACTTCTGGTTCTGTAGAAGGAAGCAGTACTCGAAAGGGACTGGTTCCCCATATGCTCCTCCTTTTGAACTTGCTTTTTGATAGTTTCCTCACTGTCTTTATCAACCATAGAGAGAATTTAGGGAGGCTATTACCCTAATGTAAGATACTTTTCATCTAGGTGCCTAAACTTTGTGATGCAAATGCCTTTTTGCCTGGGATCTAGTCTGTCCTGGTATCCTGCATAAACTTCATTTTGAAAAATGTGCCAAAATCCGTTCAGAAGCTGATCTGTAAATGCAAACATGAATATGCCCATCAGTGCAGGGCCTGTGGAGCTATTCCTGCATCTATTCCCACAGCGTTCCTAGGACTGACAGTTAAAAGAAAAAAAGAAGCTATTTTGTTAGTATAAGAACATTCATTAATTTTTCAGCTTTCAGAAGGAGCTGAGCAATAGAGCTAACTTTTATCACAGCTCTTTCATCTAGCCACCTTCTGCTTCAGTGCTGCCTGCAGCTTTGACCACTGAGGTGGTGACTACACATCAGTGCTGACTGCAACCTGTTGCAGCCATAAAAAAACCCAACATGTAGACTGTATTCTGGTTCTGGAATTAGAGTTGGCTCTCTTGCTTTTATACTTCAGGAGCTGGGATTTTTGCCTTGTTGTGGGGTATAGAAGTTTTGCCTGAACAAGTACACCTTAGGTAGTAAAGCTGGTAGGTTTATCAGTAGGAGTGACAGGCAGTATCTAAACTTTTAGAGAAGAGCTATAGCGTAACATTCCCTAACATCTCCTAGTAGTTAATAACAAAACAGAATATTAAAACTAACAAAAAACCTGACAATTACTTACAAATTGTGCTAACTTCCAGTTTTGAATGTGTTGAAGTGCTGGAGAGAATATGTTTTGATTTGTAGATAGATGTACTTGAAAGACAAGCCACCTCTGGAGCATTTAAGTGCTCTGTTATATGGTATTTTATTTTTTAATTTAAAAATAATGGAATGTTTGTGTCAAAGAAAAAAAGTGGTGTGGCTTTTGGTCTCTAAATTCAGCCATTCATATGACTCTCATGGAAAAACTGATGAATTCCACTAGTGGTGAACCTTTTTGTAGCCTTTATTAGCATGTGGGGATACCTAATAGAAAAACATGTATTTGTCAAAATATTTGACTTGATGCTATTCAACAAGGCTGTGATGTCCCTGGGAGAGGAGTAGCTTGATCTGGTTGGTGTGTCTATAAAATTACTATTTTCTTTGACTCTTGTCACCTCCGTTTCTTGTTGGGGAGTTTCTACAGAGCCCTGTTGGTCACTGAAGAAGATGAAATGAATAGTGTTCTTTGTATTTAGAGGTTACTGAATTACCTTCTTCAAAACAGTATAACGAAGGGTAATAATAGCATAAATAATAGCATATATGCATTTATGCCTTGGAAGTACATTTAATTCTCATGTGATTGTTTTACTTTACAGTGAAATGTAAAGCAAATTAAGCTCTCTGGTGATTTATCATGTCATATCTGGCTAACTATTACTGTTGGAGTGGGTACTGGTTTTGTTGATGTATACTATAAATGCAGTTTTCTTTATAGAACTGTATCTTACTGTAGAGGTTTCATTAGAAAATGAAGAAACAAGAAATACAACAATAATAAGAAAAGCAAAACAGAAAAATGGAAGGAACCCTTCACTTAGATCCTCATACTGCTTTGCAGAGGGGCTGTTTTTAATTTTTAATTAAATATTCTCACTGGATCATATAATATGACATATCCTGGCATAAAATACATAAGGTATACATTCTTTGAAGTTCAGATATGTTGCTGTCATATATGAGCACAAGTTTTTATTAACTGTCAACAGTAATTTCATAGTTTTCCTAACTGTGTTTTCTAAGATAGTACATTTTTTTTTTTCCCCAATTTCTTTATGTGGTAGACCATGGCATCCCAAAATAATATAGTAAATTTGGTTTCCTTTATAACACTGACTGCTAACTAGGGAAGATAATGGCATGCTTTGGCAGCTCAGCTTGTTGAAATGACATCACTGATTTTTGGTTAAAAATTTAAAAAAGTGAGGCCAACAAAAATACTTCTGTGGAACACTTTGAATTACTTAAAAATTAAGATGTATTCCTCTCAGTTACAGATAACTTCTTAGATTACATCATTTTAAAAAAATGCTAAAGCAATGTTATAGACAGTGTTACTAGCCTCAGTCAGGTGAAAGTCAGCTTATTCGCTAATGTACTTGATATAGATACTTGAATTTTCATATAAACATGTACTAATTGGGCCTTGATTTTCTCCCAGTTCTCTGATAAATAGCAATGGGTTCTAGTTTTCATCCTAGAAATGTTCCATACTTTTAAACTGACTGCAAATTATTTTGCCCAGGTGACATGTGAGCGGGGTGGAAGTTGCTATGATCATTGCTACATAGTTAGATTCATATCTGGGAGGTTTCTTTAAAATATACAGTAACATTTCATTTCTCTTCAGACATTAATGCCTGCTTGTTCCACTGCTTATGATATCTTGCTTTTTGTTTTTTTCCTGGTTGGTAATGTATGCGTAAGCAAAACTTTTCTTAACACCAGAAACACCAATGATAACTAATAAAGAGAGATGTGTGTGTGCTGGGACCTCCCTAACACTGAGTTTCTTGATGAACATGAGTATGTGTGCATCTGCAGGCTTGAGTTCCTGACCTATCCTTTTTTTCTCCTTCTTCTGCTATCTGGTATGCTGTGCAGTGCTCCCTCTTAATCACTATGAAGGAAAGGAACACCTACTAGATTTCAAGAAAATTGAGGTGATTAAAGTTACAAGGTAAAAACCAAGATTCAGTAGTGTTACTTTTTGTAAGTCAGTATTATGGTAGTTATCCCATCAGAATTCTTTGTAAATAATTTCTCACTTTTTCACCATAAAAGAGGCAGAGAGCAGGGGTAAGAGTAAGGGCTGATGTCTTTTCCTCACCTCTACATACTTCAGTTTTGCCATCTGGGATGATGCTTTTGTAGAGTACTCTGGTGTTGAGAAAATGTTCTTTAATTGCAGAGGCTTCATGTGATTCACTTAGGATACTGAATGTTTTAAGTGGTAGTAAGTGGACAATCATGAAAAAATAATAATTAATATTTAATGTGGTGTCTTTCATTAAAAAGAAGTCATCACAGGATACGGCACAACATTTTTCATAGTTTAGCAATAGCACACACCAGGAAAGCCTCTGTCAGCAGGCTGCAGCTCATTGCTGTGTGTTAAGGTAGCCTGTGCTCCAGGGGGAATATGTGCCATGTGGAAAGGAGAAAGCCTTTAGAAAGGTAGATAAACTGTGCATTCATCGAGTTTTAATTAAGGGTTTTATTTGTAGAGCTTCTAAAATGATTTGGAAACTTTAAATTCAATCTTTGTTGTAAATGTCAGCATTAAGAATCAGTGGAAGTCAGCATTTGAGGTTTTGGGTTTTTTTAAATTCATCCAAGCTGGGAAAGATTTCTGTAGCAACAGGCAGCTGGCTTGTACACAGTGGTCAGCTCAGTGCTCTACAGTCCCCTGCGTTGTGCAGCACGATGCCCCTTAGCTGCCTGTGATACTGTTGTACAGTATCTGGTGGTAGAGGTGCTAACTTGGTAGCTAGAGATTATGTGTATTTTGTAGTACAGTGATATAACAAGAAGATGAATAATGCAGGTAAAAGAAAGTTAAGCAACCTCTTTTCAGAAAGATTACTGAAAAATAGTACTCAGTAATAATAATGGTCTTCTGGCAGAGTAATGATTTTGCACTTTATTTTTATATATATATAA